AAGCCCATAAGAAGAGAGGAGGCAGGCTTCGGACAGGCCACAGAGAGGCCGCAACAGGCCTGCCAGCTTGAAGGCGGTCCAAAATACCTCACGTCGCCTTCGGAAGCCCATAAGAAGAGAGGAGCCTGCCAGCTGCCGAGGAGCGTTTGAAGGCGGTCCAAAATGCCTAACGTCGCCTTCGGAAGCCCATAAGAAGAGAGGAGGCAGGCCCCGGACAGGCCACAGAGAGGCCGCAACAGGCCTGCCAGCTGCCGAGAGAGGAGGCAGGCCTTGAACAGGCCACAGAGAGGCCGCACAGGCCTTTGGAAGTGCTTGGAAGTGTTCTGCTAGGCTTGGCCAACTGCGAGCGTTTGAAGGCGGTCCAAAACCCATAAGAAGAGAGGAGGCAGGCTTCGGACAGGCCACAGAGAGGCCGCAACAGGCCTGCCAGCTGCCGAGAGAGGAGGCAGGCCTCGGACAGGCCACAGAGAGGCCGCAGCAGGGCTGCCAGCTGGCGAGGCCTCGGACAGGCCTTTGGAAGTGCTTGGAAGGGTTCTGCTAGGCTTGGCCAACTGCTTCACCCTGCGGTGTCCCAGGCGCCTCCCCGCCTAGGCTTTGGCTATAGGCCGGGGTCGGCGGATATTGTACTATGTCTTTCCAAAGGTGGGCTAGATGCTAGAGCGTGCTGGGGTTGAGCCCACCAAAAATGCAAGGTTTGGTCCTTTCTCCATTGTTCTTCGGGACATGTTGCGGGCCTTGAGCCTTATAATATGAATAGCTTGAAGCACATCGTGTCAGAACCACAAAAGGTCCGCTGATGTCCGCTTCCATGTTGCGTGCATATCTTGCTGTGACCGAAACAAGTATTCAGATTTCAGTATGCATATCTTGTATGCATCCTGTTCTACTCTAAAGCTGCTGGAATCCTAAGACCTAAGATTCGGATGACCTAAGATGACCTTCAGATTCTTGACAAAGCTGTGATGACCGGGTTCTGGGTATATAACTATCCCAGTCCCTCCATGTAGCCAGCCTACAGTGCCTATATTGACTCCCCTGGCACCACCCCCACCCCTGATTCGCCAAAATACGCCAAACAGTCCCATGATTAAGTGGTGCTTTTTGATACAGACCCCCAAATAGATAGAAACATAAATCCCAACTAAAACTGTATTGGACACCGTGCCGATGATCTATTGACCACTGACAGAAATAGAAAAAACACCCTTGCCCTTTTGAAGCGTCTTTGCATGCACGGAAACGGCCTTCTTCTCAGGACTCCTCTCAGCACTGGTGAATTCCATGATCCTTCCGCTGGCGGTCTCGGGCGTCTCTCCGCCCGACGACGACACGGAGGACACGCTCTTCTCGCCCAACGCGGTGGACACCGAGCGGGTCGAGCTGCCGGTGGAGTGTTTGGAGCTCTCGAAACGCCAAAAGGCACCGGTTTGGGAGGGTTTTTTTGCAGGGTCCGGGTCTTCAGCAGCGATGCAGGGTCCGGGACTTCACACGTTCTACAACTGCTTGCGGTTGTTCTGCGGTTCGGCGATCGCACCCGTGGTTCTTTGGAGTATGAATCCGTGGTTTTAATATCTGTTTGTTGTTGATTTGTTGTTCGGTTCGGTCCGGTCGCTGTTTGGGGGGATTGGACCTGGTGACCTGGGTCTCGGGTTGGGATGACGTCAGGCTCGTTAACGAGTGACTCGGGAAGATGAAAGAACACCCGTTGGAAACTGAAGCCCGAGATGTTTGGGGGATATATTGGTCATATATGGGGTCAATTGACCTGTAACAGTCAGTATATAAACAATTATATACAATCCTTTTTTTTAACAAGGCCTTTACTAGCCATCATCATCCACTGTTACAGGTAATAGTATAGACCCTAATATACATACGTATATTATATATATATTATACGTAAGCTCCCAGAATGAATGCCAGGCCATCGTTGGAACTTCACCAATACTGTCACGAGGTGGTGGTTGCGGTTGGTTTGCAGGTGGATAGACAATAGAGTCAGCATCCATGTCGCGGGCCAACCGCGTGGTGCCCCTGCACAGATATATCCAACACCAGAGGTTTTTGCAGGACTCTGTCCAGTCTCACTCTGTCATTCGAAAAGACACTGATCTGAGGGGTCATGTGGCTCCTGGTGTATAATTGATTGTGTTCCTTTTTTCCCATAATGTTGCAGGATGTTGTCGTTGCCAGGTTTCGGCACAGCTTTTTCTAATGCAACCGCGTGTGATGTGCTCAGGTGGTTCAGGGCATGCTCTTCTACGCCTTCGAGCGACAGTTCGTGGTCACCAGCATTGAGGTGAGTACCATCATGCTGCTTGAGGCGCGCGTATCGCAGCGCTGTGCAGGCGCGCCGATCGCGGATCTCCATAGAGGAAATCATAAACCGCTCCTCTCTTCCAGAGATTCCGTGCTTGGTATTCTGGACGGCAATCCACTGAGCGTTCGTATGGAGCTATCATTGATAGATGGTATCCTGGGGCAGGGCACAGTAACTGTCATTCCACTGATCATGCACAAGCACCTCACCACTTAGAGTGGTCCCGTTTGGGCTAGTCAGCTAGTCCATGGTGATGTGGGATGTTGAGCATTCAACATGTTCCCGCCCCCCGCCTGCTTTTCTGTGGGTTAAGATATGCAAGAGACCAGTCGAAAGGATTCTTGCTTGTCCTGCCGCGTCCTGTGTCCTTTTGGCCGAACCGAATCTTCGGCCCTCCTCTTCCACTGGTATCATGCCACTCTTGTAGGTCTCATACCACTGGTCTGTGGAGCTCAGTGGCACCATCTTCACTGCGGTGTCGACAAGCAGTTTGTCTTTTGTTTTCATCTCCTCTGCGCTGATGTCGAAGCAGGCGCGCGGATATGATCAACATGTTTTTTTGTACAGGAAGGGACGCTTATTAGTTGTTTGTGGACCTGAAAGTTATTTTATTGTTTTTTTAATGTTAAACTTTAAACTCGTATTAGTGGGGTCTCACTCGCCATTCTGTTTTTCTTTAAAGGGGTCCTCAATAGTAGTGTTCACTAGTAGTAGTAGTAGTAGTAGTAGTAGTAGTAGTAGTAGTAGTAGTAGTAGTAGTAGTAGTAGTAGTAGTAGTAGTATATAGCAGTAGTAGTATATAGCAGTAGTAGAACATAACGGGACCACCTGTAAAAGAGCAGATGTTGGCTTGCCCAAGGCAAGAGATTCACTCCCGGCAGATCCATTCGAGCGTAAACACGAGACGGTCAACTCTAGTCACCCGAGAATGAGATCACCCGGCCCCATGAGATCACGACTGGAGGTCCTAAAGAATCTGAGGAGGTTATTTTGAAGAGATATATATGTTTATATTTACGTTTACGCTAACTTTTGTTTGCTTAAGTTATGCCGTTACTCCGAAGATTGTGCTGTGCTCAAGGGACACCGACCACATCCTTTACGTACAGTCACGGCTCGTACTCATACTAACTTATTAATATAGAACATAAACAAACATAACTGCATGTATTTATCTATGACCCTTGGCATCCATGTCCTCTCTTTGTCCAAGAGGACATGACTAAGTTGATGGTTTACACTCCCGAAAACTAACATAGACCCTTACAATGGCCCCCTAATCCCTGGAAGATGGTTTTCCTCTACCATCCAGTGGTTTTCAGGGTCCATGTTAGTCTTCCAGGGTGTATCCAGTGCCCAGCATCGTTCGATCTGGAAGACCAGAGCAGCCTTCACCAGGTCGACCCAAGGCACCATTGGCTAGAATGGAAGGGTTTGGATCAAACACACTCTTTCCAAGGTCTATCATTTTTAGGAGAAGGTATATAGCTGATAGTAGCTGACTCTCTCACTCCTTTTTCAATAGCTTCAGGTCTTTCAGGAGTCCATGGTCTTCATGGCCTGCAACTGCATTGCTCTACTCGGAGTGACTCGAGATTCCATGCAGCTGTACCATACCCTACCAAGTCTCCCCATAACATTCCCAAGTGACCGCACCACCAACTGGCAATCCCTCATGCAGCTTCACGGAAAAGCCAAGAACACAAGAAAAAACATATTGTCTAGATACAATTACGTTTACTTATATAATATGTCATGTGTTTGTTCAAGAGCTCTAACTTCACAGAGCTTGGAACTTGGAAGGGTCGATTATCAAGAAATCCTCGGTGTTCGTGACCATCTTTTGCTGACAGAAATGCTAGGATTGTCACAACATGTTGATCTATATACATATCAACAACATTACAATACCAACCATAAAGGAGTGTTTTCTTTAAAAAACAAAAAAAACATGTTGCACAGAGAAAACACATCTAGGTGATCTTTCTCTTCGACTTCCGGCAACTGGGGGCTTTTGGCCTTTTGCTGGCAGACGCCTTGGTCTACGGCTGCGCCACCGTGTCTAACGGCCTGGCGGAGGGCTGGGCCTCGCGCGCGGCCGAGGAGAAGACGGACTTCAGCACCGAGGCGAGCGACAGACAGCGGCGACGGACGCACCGTGTCGTTGGATCGTTCGAGGTTGACTGGTGGGGTGACCGGAGAACAGGTCGAATTTGAGGTGTTTTGGAGGTCTTGGACTTACCAGTGGAGTGAGGTTCAATTTGATGTCTGATTTTTTAACAGTCAATTCGAGGTGTAGCCTCCAGTATGTCACTTACAGTGGGCTGTAGGTCCAAAGGTCCCCAAAGTCCAATGCTTTCGGAGGAACATTACAGATTTAGTTATGATAGATTTAAACTATAGTTCTGGCTTGTATACTTTATATTATGCACTTTTCTTATAAAGCCAAGACTTGCATTTGACAGGTCTACCGCACTTGGAACATGGCGCTGGTGTGTGGCGCCCGGTCTTTGGCGCCCACGGTGGCACGGAGCCTGCTGGACTACGGGGGGCGGAACGTCTATGCGGCGCTGCAGCTGGTCATGGTCGCTCTGGGCACCCTCACTGTGACGGGGCCGAACAAGAGGGGGGGCCGAACAAGAACATGATGGGCAAATGGGATTTGGAAGAAGGCGAGTCCCCTTCTTGTTGGGAAGAAGTCATGAGATTTAGTCTGTCATGAGAAAGCTTGGAGGATGCATTGTCCGGGCAATGCTGAGGAAAGGACAAATCAATCATCAACCACTTGCTGCCAAGAGTGCATAGATCATGGTATGGTATCAGAACAATCCAATGGGTCACCACTACTGGAAGGTAGTTCAGCCGACCCGCCTTCCTTCGTCGAGAAATCCTGATCAGGGCTACCATGTCTGAGCGGACCGCCTATTCGATTAAGATGGTTTAAAGAGAACTGCTGAGGTCTACAAAACTGTGGCATTGGTGTGGGAGTTGAATTCGGCGCCCTTGAACCACAAGAAGCCAGCTGAGAAGCTGAGTTGAGGCTGTTTGCATGGCAAGACGATTGTAGATCATTACTTCACCTTCCTGGTCTTAACCGTCTTGCACCACCAGAAGTTGGTTTGCCTGGGTTTGGTTAATTGTTTCCACTTCAATAGGTTCTGTTATTCTTTGGAACCTCCTCCTACTGAGCAAACCAGCCTTCTTAATAGGGGGCCGTGCTGGGTGGATAAAAGCCATGGCGTCTGACCCAAGACTTTATCCGGGTGCCAGCCTCTGAGCTACCTAACAAGGGGGTTTGTCCCTTTAAAAAAGTCCACCCAAGAACACCTAGGGGCTGGAGCCACTTCTTTTTAGCCACCGTGGGGGTTGACCTATTCCAGCCCCTTCCAATGGGTCAAACCTGGCTTTGGTTGACCTTCTCTGGGGGGAGCCAAGCAGTCAACCCTTGAAGCTGCTTTTTGGCCTGAATTTGAACATCAGCCCCCCAAATTTATCCACGTGATCTGGCTGAGAAAGGGTCAATCCCCCCCCAAAAAAAAACGTGTACAGGCCCTAGGTCCCAGTACAACCGGGTACTTCCCTACCTCGCTCCGCTCGAGTTGTATTAGTCTTCAGAACCGTCATATCAGTGGTCTACACGGGCCTTCTTTGGCGCGCTCCGGCAGCAAAAAGGCGTGCCAAAGGATCAAGGCGGATCAAGGATAGAGGTCGGCAGCTTAGCACAAGTGTGTGGTGGTGGTGGTGGTGGTGGTGGTGGTGGTGGTGGTGGTGGTGGTGATTGCATATGAGAGTGGAGAAATGTGGAGAACCGCCAAAAAGACGCTTCTGTATCCTTAATAAATATGAGGACCGAATCTGCGGGGCGAAGTCCAAGCCCAAACCCCAGAAGGAGATGTTCTGCATGTCTTTCGCTTGCGACTCGGGCTCGAGATGACCATTCCCAGGCCACGCCACGGGACGAGGCTCAGACGGGCCACGGGACCACCGGACCGGTGTGGACGTGGCCGACAGGAGCGGAGGGGCAAAGTAGAAGGTAAGGGCCCTGAGGTGCGAACTTGGACGGATCGCGAGTTGGAGCAGTGCTTCTTTCTTTGGCAGGTGGTGTTTTCTTTTAGTTTTAGTAGCTTAATTAGCTTGGGTCGATCTGGAGCCCTGCCACCTCTCATGAAGTCCAAGTCGGAGTCGGAGGCTCCGCGAGCTTCGGGGCCTAACCAGGTCCTGGGGTCTTTTTTGGTTGGGATCGGTGGAGTTTCCTTCCTTTAAAGCTTTTGGGCGGTGAAGAAACAGCTTTGCAATGGTCCATGTTGATTTTTGATGTTGTTCAATTTTCTGATGGTCGGCCGGAGCGTTTTGTAGCTGAAGGCAGGGTCATTTTCCTGGCAGGTTCATCGTTGGGCGTGGACCCCATAAGCTGTGTTTCGATATGTGACTCAAGTGGTCCGAGAACCTCATACAGGGCACACTCCATTCCGCAAGCGAATTGTTTTTGCAGAGCTTCAGAGGGGCTGAATTGGAAGTGGAAGGACCACTACCTTTGGGGGCTTTAAAGATCAACCCGTTGTGTGACAGGAATGGTGCTGAGGCCTGCAAGAAGAGTAATTCTTCAAGAACAAAAACCATCACAAGCCAGCATAGCAAGGCTCAGAAGTTTGGAAGAGGACTTGGTTCATACTGGTCGTGGGGAGGCAGAGCCTGTTGAAAACTGGAGAACTTTTCTCGGATGCTTTTTGGGTCCAAAAGGTATGCACAGCCACATACAGCCACCCTGCTCCAAGGTTGAGGCTCCATCCTTACCTAGGTTAGGTGGTCGTTCTTGTTACTTTTTTACCGCTGGTGGAATCGAAAAGGGCGAGAAAACCAACTCAATGCAGGTCTGGGCAGGGCTTCTGCGACCGGAAAACTCAAGCACACTTTGACTTCAAAGTTGTGCACAATGTGCAAATACCGTTGAAGAAGAAACACCATAAACAACACCCTCGAATTTCTTAGAGCGATGGATAATTCTTCCCAGAACAGCTGAGCCGAAATGGCGCAAAAAGATATTGAAAGACCCAAAGCAGCACAAGAACCATTCGAAAGACCCTTGGTCCAACTTTGAAGTATGGGCTGCACATGGCTGCACGATGTTAAGCGATGTTGAACCATTCACACAATCCAAGGAGAAGATAGGAGAAGGTCTTCCATACACCCACACCTCTTCAGGTGACTCCCCTGGTTGCGACACCCGCCGTTGCCTCGGTCGGCTCTGGAGCCCCAGGGACGTGTCGGGTCGCCGTGTACGGTCGCCGTACGGACGGCTGCAGGGTTTTCCGGAGGGAATGCTCGGTAACCTCGTCGAAGCCCGGATGCCCTGGCAGTTTACTCTCTGAAACCCGGTCCTCTCTTCCTAGGAGCGCTTTGTACCCTGGCAATTCTGTGGAATTGTTGATCGTTTGAGGATTGTTTGAGGTGCTTCTTAGGTGAAACATTGAGAAGCTGAACCCCCCCGCCATGGGCATTGTGGAAGATTTGCCATGGCTGACATAGACCCTAGTGTAGACCCTATTTTGTATAGAATGGCCGTAGGAAAGGTCATGTGCCGCTTCGCGGGGGTCACCTACCAAAAGGCCACGCTTCCCATTTTTTCAGCAAGGATACAGCATAGAGCCTTCCGGAAGAGTCTCGGTTTGTACACCCGAGTCATTCAGCTGATTGAAACACTACGGAATAATTATGAATTGTCGTTTTTTAGATGTGTTTTTTTCGTTCGGGCTGTAGGGTGTAGTAGAGAGTTCTTTACTACTTGATCTATATTAGTCCGTTTTGGCCCAGTGGGCGCAAACCTGCTTTGCTATGGAGTTCCGGAGGTCCGGAGATTCGAAACCAGCTCCCTCTCAACACGGATCAACTTCACCAAGAGATCCAACGTGTAAACACGTGTAAACTGTAAACAGGTGTTGACAAGGATGGGTGAGTCCATGTTCAAGAACAAAGATTCATTATCCAGCAGTCACAAAGGGGTGCGATCCATGGAGGTTTGGGGTGCCCACTATCCACTCACTTAGGGACTAAATGCCACTCCTTTGTGACTCCTGGATGACAAACATATGCTTGAATTCTTGAATTCGTCTTACTGCATCACTGCCAAGCGCCACCGGCCAGACCCAAAACGCTGCGAACGCACCGCGCGTGGTGACCGAGGTGACTGGTCTCGCCTCGACGGTCTGAGATGCCTCGACCGCCGCGGTACGCCTCGCAGTGTCAGGGAGGCCCAGCTGGTTCCGCCGTCGCAGGGACATCGCGCCACCGGGCAGGACATCGCGACCGGGGTGAAGACTGGGTGAAGGACAGGAGGATTCGGGGAGGGTCTTTGTGGTGTTGGATTGACCGGGACTAAGGCCGGGACGCGTGACGCCGCGGCGAACACGCCACGCCGAAAAGGATGAAGACGCGTTCGCCTCACCTGACTCGCCGATAGTGGGAAAGTGAGAATGATTCCTAGACTTGTTGAATCCACGCTGCATGATCATTTCTATGGGTGAGAGTGATTGAGAATGAACACCATCCCTGACGCATTCATGAAGAAACATGTAACATGCTCCAAAGTAGGTGAGCACTGAAACTCCAGGTTTGCAGGACGCCCAACATGTGGATGGCAGGCAACTAACAAAGGGAAACAGGGTAACCAAGCATCGAGGCCTGCATGGATGGCGCCAGTCCCTTTGCAAAACAGGGTTGGCGCGCCTAGTTTGGTGGTCCCGGGTTTGATAGGATTGGCGCCAGTCCCCTAGTCTGGTGGTCCTTCTAGTGGTCCCGGGTTTGGATGGGTGACCAAGGCCATGGTTTGATAGGATGGTCCCGTGGACCAAGGCCGGCGCTTCGTCCAGCCGTACCAGTCGCCCCCGCAGCGCGGGCAGCGCCTGGGCGGCGCTCGAGGCGGCGAAGGCGCAGGGCGAGGCGGGGGCGGGTCGGGGATGCGGGGGTCGGGGTCGGGGGGTGGTGGCATTGGGGGGTGGTGACCATATAAAACAGCATCATATGGATAGGGTGGGTCAGTGGGTCTGGAATGGGTTTTGGCATGGCTTGGGTGGAGTCTTTGTTTATCCATGTGGGTGCATTGTTCGGGATCTGTGTTAATGATTTGGTCCACTTCCGTGAGCAAATCCAAGAACAGGATGAACTCCCCCCAACCAATTGAGATCTATTTGCCTGTGTTGGTCTATGTTTTGACAGTTTGTTTGCTAGGTAGGAGGTCGTTTTCCAAGTCTCTATGTTCCTGAGGAATGCGAGATCCAAACTCTGCATGTCAGATTCAGATGCAGATCTGGGCGTTTCCGGCTACTATTGCTGAGGCATTGGGGCCTTGTGATGGCCCAGTGATAAGAGCTGGGACTGTTCACTGGTTGGCCGTCTTTTAGTGTTGGACTCCATGCCTCAGGGTGGCGGGCAAGAGCAAAGAAAGGCAAAACATGTGAACCAAAAGAACGTCAGATGTTTCAAAACCCAGAAGTTCGACAAGCCCACATTTGACCCCTTTTCAAGCCTTTTGACCTTCCACAAAGAAGCTACCACGAAAGGAGAATCAAGGAGCAGTGGAGCAAAGCCGGCCATAGAACAGATGCTTTTCACATCCTGTGTTTGTGATGACTTTCTGCAGAATGTGCAATTCGCAGTTTTGCCACAGTTTTGCCGTTGGAATGCTTTTCCTGAGACATTCTGAGACACGAGTGGCTTAATCTTTGACTGGCAGGATCAACGAACTTTGCACGAGGTTTTTGCAGGATGTTGTAAATAGTTCCCGACAGGATTGTGTTGTTTGTGGCACGGCCATAGTCAGGGGGACATCCTGTGACTGTGCCTTTTTTGTTGTTGTAAGTGGTTTAACATGTTTTAAGTATATATAAATGTCTCAGCAGTTTGTTTTCCATGTTCATCATCCAGGACCTTCAAAGTGACCTTTTGAGATCCCAGAATGAGGTCACTTAGTCCCTGAAGAGGTCACTTACAGACTCCAAAGAGGTCACTTTGAAGGTCCTGGATTAATTCATTACTTTAATGAT